AGGAAGAGTTCACCAGTGGACTGCACCACTGTTTCCCCAACATCACTCCTTTTCCAGTGAAAGAACTGAGCATCCCTGCTCTGTGCTATGCAGCCTTCAGCTTCTCCCTGAGGCAGGTGTCGCTGTCTTCTAACACCGATGTTGACTCGGCCATGTAACTTGCCTTAGCAAATGGGATGTGAACAGCAGCAGTGTTTGCCAGGCATGGCTTAGCCATGGTTCTTCTTCCTCCTCTATGAGGCTAAGAAAGGGGACTGCTCCTTCATCTTAAGTCCTAGAATGGAATGAGATCTAGAACAGAGCGCAAGATGACAAGCACACAGCGTGAAGAGAGTGAACAGCAAACCTGTGGCGTAGAGCACTGAGATGTGGGGCTGTTTGTTACCGCAGCAGAACCTGGAGAAAGCTGCCTCCTACTAAGGACTACTGGAGGGTGTGTGGCAATATCGTGAAAGAGGACATATCGATCAGGGTGCTTTCATCTGCAAGTACCAGAAATTGAACTCAAACTGGCTGGAGGGAAAAAAAAAGGTAGAAAGGAGGTATTTACCTGCTCGCTTAACTCCAAAAGAATAGAGTTGGCTTAAGCATGGCCAGAAAACAAATAAACAAACAAACAAGATCTCAGACTCCTATCATCTCTCAGGCCTGCTTTTATCAGGCACGATTTTTATTTTCTGAATGCTTTCAGCAACTCAAGAATTGTCACTCACAGAGATCAAAGCTAGGCCTAAGGCTGAAGCCCATTGGTAGAGCACTTGTCTAATATGACCAAGGCCCTGGGTTTGAACCCTAGTACTGAAAAAAACAAAAGCAAAGATCAAAGTCTAGTGGAAAGGAAACTCCCTCCTGTCGACTCTTAAAAAGTCTTGAGATCATCTCATACTGAACCAGCTTAGGTAGCAGTCATCATAGATAGTATCCCGGCTCTGTTGGGACAGCCCTGTCCCACCCTCAGCTCAGGGCTCCAGCTCACTAGAGTATGTGGACTGAGAAACATGGGAAGTGCCCAGAAGCAGGAAAATCAATGCAGAAAAGCTTTTGTTTCACTATAACTATTGCTTTATTGTAACTATGGAAAAGCCATAAGTAACCACCAGAAGTCAGACGTTAGAGCAAAAAGAAAAGGAATAAATACACCTCCCCACCCCCACCCCTCCACCCCGCCACAGTTTTTTGCAATCTTCTTTTGAGACAAAGTATCAAATGTTATGTAGCTGGACTCTGAATTTCTGACCCTTCTGTCTCCACCTCTGGAGTGCTGAGATGGCAAGCATGCACCCCCCACACCCAGTCTATGAAGTGCTGGGTATTGAACCCAGGGCTTCACGAATGCCAGGCAAGAGCTCTACTACTAAGGCCTGTTCTGCATTCTTAAAGTAATTCTTAACTCAGAGAAAAATCAAAGTCATCCATGTTGGAACGAAGCATCGTTCTGAAAGACTCTTTAGGTCTAGAGTGATATAATTCCATGACGATCCTTGACTTGAAGTGTTTTCTTTCACTGTATAATTTATTTCATAAAGATGCATATTTTGTACATGATGAATTCTAGTTACAATTTTATGAGCTGAAGACTATTTTTAAAGATTGTCAATGTCCTAGGCTATACAAAAAAATTAAAACAAAAATAGGCTTGGGGATAGTAGCTAGGAAAATTCTAGACAGAAGACAGAGTCTGCTAAATTGAGGGCAGGAAGAGAGGGCGATGGCTGGACCTGGAGGGAGAAGGATTGTTTACAGGATAATCACTAGTAGCCACCTGTAACAAATGCCTCCAATCCAGCTGTGATCTCACATGACAATGGTATTGTGCTGTAGGCAGCTGGACTTTGACATTAAAATAAGACCCAGGTTCCCATGGAAGATGGCTCCCAGGCTGACAGACTGGAAGCAGTTAAGTGGAAGCAGATATATTTAGCATTACATCTCACAAGGGGTTGTCTGCTAAAGTCAGGCCAAGAAAGGAAACTCTCATTAAGTCAAAATAACCACTTCAAATGCCTTAAATTACCCATATGTATGTATTACTTCCTTCATGAGGTCAGTTTTCTCCCAGTCTGAGTACTGATCCTGGTAAGTTCCGGGTGGCAGATAAGGCAGCACAGTGGTGAACTGTGCTCTTGACAGGGCTGACGGGAGGCAGGCTGCCTGGGTTCAAGTCCCATCTCAGCTGCCGACTTACCACCCTGAGGAAAACTTACTCACCCTGTGCCTCAGTTCCTTTTCTGAAACGTGGGTGCTGCCGGGACATCAAGTGTTCCCCAGCAGCCATGAGCCCACCTGCACAGCCCAGACCACATTTCCTTGCAGGAGGTTAGGACGGGGCTCTGCAAGGAGGGGTGGCAAGGGTTAAGAACCTGTAAGCAGAGAAGGTTAAGAATGGGGTGGGGCGGGGCATCTCCTCATTTCCTGTGTGGTCGGATCTTGCTATTGTTTATCAGAGTGTGGCCACCCTGCATCAGGCCACATGAGTGGGGAGGAAGCACAGTGACCACTGTATTTCTCCAAGACTCTCTTCCTCCACTGTCAGCTTCCCGGTCTTAGCATCTATATCCAAGAGATGTGGGGAGATTAAAAGGGATCATACTCAAAAAAGCATCTAGCAAAGTGACTGCTCAATTAGACCAGTTATTATCACCTACAGGCAGGGTGACCTCTGATGCAGGTGACCTCTGACACAGGTGTCCTTTGATGCAGAGTGACTTCTACTCAATAGAGAATTCTAATCTGACTGTACTCTAAGATTACTCAGGAAGCTAGATTGATGTGTGCCTCTCATTCCTGCATTTGGGAAGCTGAGGCAGGAAGGTTGAAAGTTTGAGGCCAGCTTAGGCTATGGTAAGATTCTGTCTCAAAAACAGAAACCACAGCAAATAAACTGTACACAGAGGAAACTTTTGGAAACCAAATGAAAATAAAATGATTCTCAGGCCAGCCTGAAAGTTTGGATTAAACAGGCCTTGAGAGAAAGAAAGCTCTACAGATGATTTAACAATTCTTATTCTTACTGTTTGGTTTTGGGGACAAGGTCTCACTACATAGTCTGACTGACCTGAAACTCACTCTGTAGATGAGGCCTCAAACCCACAGAGATCTGCTTGCCTTTGTCTCCTAAGTGCTGAGATTAAAGGCACATTTCACCACGCCTGGCTTGCATTAGATGTTATATTTTGGTTGTGAGCTTAACCTTTAATGGCTGAGCCATTTCTATAGCCCTGGCTTGCAGATGATTTTTAAATGCAGACTGGGTAGAAAACCACAGGTTTTAGATCAGAGGTTCTCAACTGAAGTAATATGCCTTACATCTAGCTTTGAGACACTCATCTGTCTGCAGATATTCTGGAATATTCAAACTATAGGGGAAGGAGGGTTACCACTGGCATCTAGTAGGGAAAGGGCGTCAATGCTGCCAACATTACAACGCACATCACATCACAGCTCCCCACACAGCCAAAGTCCAAAGACCTGGGCAAAAGGTTGTTTCCCAGATCCTGTCTTCGTGTGCCTGAAGGACTCTGGTTCCTGCTTGCTTCGATGGCTCTTCCAGCTCCAGGGTACCCAGGAAGAACATGTCCCCTAAATTCTCAAATCCAAATCTGGACTCCACCCAGCTTGGCTGGCTCCAGGCCTGGGAAGGGTCTCCTGCCTCAAGACTTCCCTCTAGTGTTTTTGGTTAACGCCTGAATTACAATACTACACAAACTACCTCTGCATGTAAACATGTCTCTCTGCTCTGGGGCTTCCGCCCTAGTCTGTTCAATTCTGGTCTGGTTTCCTCCGCACCAAACTCTTTGAGTTATGGTGGGGAGGTGTTCCATGGGTTTTATTATGCTGTGTGAATTAGATTTCATCTTTATCATGCTCTTGGGCATCTCCTGGAAAGATAATGGAAACACAGAATACAAATGCCAGGGAAAACCAGAACATTGTGTCCCCAGCTGCAATGATAGCTGCTACTTCTCAGTGTGTTTGTTTCTATGATGTACCAAAGGATCCCAGGCAGCAAGTGACTAGGGATTAACAAGGATTCTCATGGAAAGTTTTGCATTTTGTTTTTAGGTTTATTGTATGTGTAAGGGTGTTTTGCTGCATGTTAAGTCTATGTACCACACGCGGGCTTGGTGCCTGCAGAGGTCAGAAATGGATCCCCTGGAATTGGAGTTACAGATGTTTGTTCACTGCCATGTGGGTGCTGGGAATGGAACCTGGGTCCTCTGCAAGAACAACAGGTGCCCTTAACCACTGAGCCACCTCTCAGAACCATGTAGCTCTGAATGGCCTGGGATTCACTGTGTGGAAGAGGCTGGCCTCAAATTCACAGAGACTGAGCTTAAGTTGGAGACCTGTGGGAGGGACTGCAGCTCTGCCAATAAATCATTTGTTATCTAGCATGTACAAGGCCCTTGGGCTCAAGCCTCACTATCAGAGAGATGGACAGAGACAGAGACTAGAAGGAAAAGTTATTCAGACTAAGAACTTCTTTTCTGTTTTACTTCTGAAGTGTTCCTGGGATATAACCAGTGTGTTGACAGAGCAAGCTTAGTCTGTGCTACAAATAGCCAGACAAGAGTCCCAAGCATAACTGACCTGGAGTCCTAGATGTAGTACATGAGTGAATTTCCTTATTCCAAAGAAAAGCATCATTACATAACCTTGAGATTAGGCGAGATGCCTCAGTGGCTAGAGCTGTGTAAGCATGAGGACCAGAGTTGGGTTCCCCAGAATCCACATAAATGCTGGGAAAGAGTGGTGGCTGCCTGTTCTTCAGTGCTCAGAAGGCAGACACAGAGGATTCCAGAGCAAGCTGGCTGCCCAGAGTGACCACGTCAGGAAGCGTCAATAACAAGGTGAATGGTGATCAGAGAGGACTCCAATGTTGACCTAAGCTTTTACATGTGGCCCTGCACACATGCAAACATACATACACACATGCATGCATACCAAACACACATACTTGTAATAGAAAAAAATGCTAGGCGTTAACTATTCACACTTACTGGTGTTCGAGCCATTTCTCTACAAATGGGATGGAGAAGAATTCTGTGAACGGTTCCCCTGCCCTCTTTGGATTCTGGCTTTGATTGACAAAAAAAAAAGATGAGAATTAAGTCAGTTGTTCTTCTATTGCAAATTAATACGATCAAATCCTTAGGGCCATTGAATAGTACTGATAGGAACAACTTACTTGTACAGCCACTCAGTCAGGAAATCACAGCCAATGAATTTGGTTCTCTTCCTCTAAAGAGAGAAGATAAAATTAAATTATATTCTTTACTCATATGGCTATGTAGCACAAAGAGAGAGGTTGATTGGTTACACCCCTTTTCATATGCATGGGTACATTATGATGTTTATAAGTATGTCAGCCAACAGTATATTTCTCTAGTCAACTTTGGAGAAAGCATTTTCTGACAGTAGGGACTAAAGAAAGGCAGTGAATGCACCTAGTAAGTGCTTATTACATGTTTCCTTGCTCTGTGCCTCAGGAGGCTGATTTTGAAATAGATTTATTTATTTATTTATATGTATGAGTATTTTGCCACATTCCTGGTGCCATCGGAGGTTAGATGAAGATGTCAAATCCATGTTGTGAGTCATGTTGGCACTGGGTACTGAATCTTGGTCTCTGCAAGAACAACAAGTGCTCTAACCACTGAACCATCTCTCCATCCCTGAAGAGGCTGATTTTATGGTTCATAACTGCTAGGAACTGGTGGGAAGGATTTTATTATAGATCACAACTTACTTTGAGTCTTATGTGACTTAGAGAGGACAAGCAGGATATATTCTGAGAGATGTAACCTTGGATGATTTCTGTGCAAACACCATAGACTAGGGCAGTGCCAACAGCACTAGGTGATGTGACCTCATTTGTGTGGTTAGCTATTGGGCCGTTGGCTGAAGCACAGGGCACATGGCACGTTGGCTCTTGGTTGAAGCGCATGACATATGGCGCATTGACTACTGAACGAAACACTAGGCACATGGCGCACTGTGTTTATTGAGTCCTTCAGTCTACTCAAGTCCACAGCTAGACTTCAGATCTGGCTATTACTTTCAAAGGTGGAGGGGAAAACATAAAAGTAAAAATTTAAAGAACCGAAAAGTGGACGTCAAGTACTTGGGGCCACTGTTCCTGTTAGCTGTACTCAGTACCCATCCTGCACCCCATCTCTGAACAGAAACCTTATTGCTTCCACACAGCTTCCAGTTAGACCAACAACTATTTCCTGGACTTCGGAGGGGAAAGGGACAAGTACAGGTTACAGTTCTGTCTTTACGAGATGTCTATGAACACTTTACTTTCCTGGTTTCGCCTGCCTGCTGTCCTCTGAAGCTCCCTTCTTCTTCTGGCCTGGAATACAGCTATGGGCCTAGAAGAGTAACAGTCCCCTCAAGTCCTGAGACCAAGACCCACACTCTCAGCCTGGCATGGTGATGCACCCTTAGGACATGGGGCAGGAAGACGAGGAGTCGGATGCTACCCCCAGCTACATGGTAAGTCTGAGGCCAGCCTGGGAAATAGGAAACCTTGCCTCAAACAAACAAACCAAAATATACACACTACAATGGAGCAGGAGTTAGGAGGAGCTGGGCCTTTGCTTTGCTGAATGCCTTAAGACATTGTGCCAGTTTGGGCCTGCACTATCCCTCTCTAGAGGTGTGAGGCAACATAAACTTCACTGGGTTTATTGCCACTCTTATCATTGCAGCAAATAGAGCCCTAGCTAGGAAGTCACAAGGGGAAACATTCTAGGGTATTGGGTCAAGCTGTGCTGAGGGTACAGCACTAGGCATCCTGTCTCCCGTTACTCCCTTCTTGTGGATGAAACAGAACCATCAGCTCCTGTCAGACAACTGTTAAGGGAACTGCGAATGGAGGATCCCTTTCTGAACTGTGTAGCAATTTCCTCTGAATTGAGATGTTCCATGCTTTAGACGTGCTCCTTAGGACTCAGGGAGCAGGGCTAGTGAGATGGCTCAATGGGCAAGGGTGCTTGCAGCCAAACCTAATTATCTGAGTTTGATACGCAGAATTCACATGCTGGAAGGGGAGTACTGACTCCCACAGTTGTCCTCTGACTCCATGCATAGGACTCAGGACGCCTCAGGAGCCCACGGGTTCACAGGGTCCCTCCTGTCAGACAAGCAGTAACAGACGCTGGGAAGGAGATTCCTGCAGCACAGGTGCCTTGAATGGTGCAGGAGACTCCAGGGATGAGATGTGTCAGCTGTGACCCATGCCACAGTATAAACTCACTGATTCACCAGGCTGGACCTAGGTGGAATGACTTACTTGGTTTGTCATTGGCGCTCAATCTGGAGTAAATGGTCATTTCCTCAGGTCACCCCAGGAAAAGTCAGAGAACCCCTTTTGACAGAGACTAAGAACCAAGTCAATCTAGAGGTACTGACAGTCATATTAGTAGCCCTCCCAAGAATGTAAAGCACTCTGGAAACTTTCTCTGTCCCTCTAGATACCCTACCCTACCCTACTCTACCCTACCTTACCCTATCCTACCCTGCTCTGTGATGCAGGGGGCTAGCTCATGTCAACCAGCATCCCTTATTAACCACCAGGGGGCTAGTTAACAGGAGGGATCAGCAGGAAATGTGGAGGGAGAGGAGGAAAGGGGTTGGATTGCACCTTCCCCAAGATTCCTCTGCTAGCATCCTAACACCCCCACCCCAATTCCTCAGACTATTAACTTATTTGGAAACAGAACTGGTGCAGATGGAATCAATTAATCCAAAACAGCCCCATCTAGTGAAGACAACCCAGAGATCCATTAACAGGACACTGTCAGGTAAACTGCAGTGGCAGACTCCCGATCACACTGTACTAGACCCTGGCCGGGCTACAGAAACTTAAGCTCCTGGAATTTGTCAGGTACAGGAGCCCCTCCTGCTCGCTCCCATTGTAGTGTGCCCAGGATGGAACTCAGAGCTCACTGTCTTATGCTAAACACACTAAGTTACACACCCTGTTGGAAGTTTCCCTTTTTGTCTCCAAATTGTCTGTGCTGGGTTGATTATTGTTTACATTTCTACTGTTTTAACTACTATATTTCATTTCTCCAATCACAAGCATCCTAAGGTGCCCCAGGAAGCCTTTTTCCATGTAGGAAAGGCTGTCCTACAGTTTCCTGATGAACCCCCATCTCACATCTCAGAAAGCAACAAGCCACAGATCATGTCTCCCTCCAGATTATCAGGTCTGGGGAGCAGGATGCACACCTCTCTTTCTGCCCTGGGCTTCATCACGTGCACTGTGTAGAGCAAGGGATCCAGAAGGGTTGAGTAAATGAATGAGGAAATGCTCCAGGAACAGTTCAAGGGTCACAACAAGAAAGATTCAGGTACAAGGATGTGGGCATTTCAAACGAAGAATTATTAGTATAATTCTGGAAACATTTCATTCACTTCTCACAATTTCTCTCTCTCTTTTCTCTTTTTGAGACAGAGTATCCCTTAAGCTGGCCTCAAACTAGCACTGTAGCAGAGGTTAAATAACCTTGAAATTTGGATACCTTTTCTCGGCCCCCTAAGTGGTGGGGTGAAAGGCATAAACTGCCATGCCTGGTTTGTGTGGTGCTGGGGACCAAGCCCAGAGCCTCAAGAATACCAGGTAAGCATTTAACCAACAGAGCTACTCCCCAGCTCAGCACAATATTTTCTTAGGGAAAATTTCCATCTGATTCCTTTTGTCTCCTTCCCTTACAGGCAGCCAATTTGGTTTTATAATCCTACAGAAAGCTGACAGCATTGCTGTGTAACTGATGGCCACTGAAAAGTAAAGTGCTGCTTGGGGTTTTTAAAGGAAGCGTTATCGGAGCTGTTGTAAAGGAAACCTGGTGGTGCCCGGATTGCTGGAGATTATTTGCTGTCTTCTACCTCGAAGCCAGCAGCTTTTATAAAGAAATCGAAACACTGTCAGCCAAGGGGATAAGATGAAAAGTGTTAAATCTTAGAAAGGGCTTGTTAGCTTGACATGTAATTTTTTCTCATTTTTTTTAGTTCTTTGAGAATTTGTAAGCATATTTTGATCACGATCATCCCCCTCTGTTCACCCCTCCCAGATCCACAACCCCTCTTTCCCAAGTTTACAACCTCCATCCCTCCCTCCCTCCCTCTCTCCCTCCTTTCCTCTCTTCCCTCCTTTCCTCCCTCCCTCCCTCTCTCTCTCTATGTGTGTGTGTGTGTGTGTGTGTGTGTGTGTGTGTGTGTGTTTTGCTTTTTAAAGGCTGTGCATGAAAGGGAGGACTCCCTTCAAAAAGCTACCTAAAAAGAAGAAAATGTTTGTTACAACAATGCAAATATGTAGCCAAGCATGAACTGCAGCCTAATGGCTTAAACAATGGAGCAACTATAAGACAGTAGTCTCCATCTGCCCACACACCACGCTTGTCCACTTGGCATTCATCGCACCGTTAGTGGTAAAGATTCTATGCCGAGAATGCAGCCTTGCTCACCCTGTTAAACAGACTTTGACATAGCCGTATGAAACTCATGCACAGATTTATTTGCTTTTGATGCAAAGAAATAAAGTGTGAGAGATGATATTTTCCTTCAGTTCTGGGCAGGCGTGGACGTGCCCTGCATACCCAGACATGTAGAACAGTGGGGTATTGTTCAGCTGTTGTTTAGTTTAAAAATTATCTGCTGGCGAGCTGAAAGGGAGAAGGGGAGGCAACTCAAGGGCTGTGGTGAGTGAAGAGATAAGAGAGGAAGTAATAGAAAAAGGAAAGCGCAAGGCTGAAGACGCTTGGGCTGCCAGGCTCCTAGGACGTGGGCAGACACAATGAATCTTTGACTGTTAAAAGCCACAAGTGTGCATATTTGTACAAGCAGAGCAAATGGGCAACCACAAAGTTAAAACATTGCTTTGTTGTTGTACGTTTGTTTTTGAGACTTGTGTAGTGAGCTCTTTCTAGGCCCCAAATCCTAAAAATAGAACAAAACCCAACAAAATCTATAGTTGGATGTGGGAGTAGATGGCAGAAACCAGAAGTTGGGAGGAGGAGGCAGGAGATCACGAGTTCGAGATCACATTTGGCTACACATGGGGCTGGAGACCAGCCTGGGACAGATACTTGAGACCCTTTTTCAAAAACAAACAAACAAAAATGTCAAGTTGGAAACACTCGTAAAACTGAAAAGGAAAAGAACAAGGGACAAGGCATACGCCATCACAAATCTGTAGTTTACTTTGAGTCCAAAGCGGCACACTGGAAGAC